CGGTGTTTATTTCTCATTAAGCTGTGTTAGGCCATGCCAGGCCAGACTGTACCATGCCCCGCCGCACCCACCTATCACTGAGCAGCACCAAGCTCCTCATTAACCTCAGTCCTGACACTTTTAGCAACGTGCATGAGAATACGTACATGTTCTTTTATAATGGAAGCTTTATGATTTGTTGCTCCTGCAGACGGTTACTTAAACAGAATTCTAATGAAGTAAAAACTGAAGTTTTCTGAGGACAAAGCCTATTTCTCACACACTTTGCAGAGATGTGTCACACCACCATATCAGTGTGGTTGGTGTCAGCTGCTGTCTCTGCAGACATGCTTAGCTCCTTCTCCAGACCTCGGTTTGCTCCATCTATCCATCCATTTATCTATTTATCAACCTTTCATCTTTACCGTCCACCCTGGGTTTTGGGAAATGAGCCCGTAGCAATCTCATTGCGCTCGTCTTTCCCTCCTCTCCCTTTTTCTTTCAATTTCTTCCTCCTCGCATCTCCAAATCACAACTTTCTTGCCTTTTCATCCTCTTTTTCTGCTCACTCTCTTTCCCACAGCACAATTTTCTTCAAATCTCTCTGGTTGTTTTTGTCGTCTGCCTTCTCCTTCTATGAGTGTGTGTGTGAGAGTACACACAAACACACACACATTAGTGTTGGTCTCTGCTGCCCGACTGCAATTCATCATCATTTTATCTTCCTTAATTGGATGCCATCAGGACCCCTGAAACTTCGCATCTCTCCTCTAACAAACAGCTGCTCTCTGCACACACGGAGGAAAACAGACAGAAACACACACCCTCTACCCAAACTAGATTTTCTCCCACTGCCCCTCCATGTCTGCTTTCTCCCACACTAGGGAGAGGCTTGGTGAGGAAGGGGGTGATGGAGTAGCTGACTGGTTTATCAGACAGAAGGTAATGGTGTACGGCTCGTGCTGATATTATCGGTCCTCTTATTCCTGCTCCCCAGAGAGAAACAAGAAAGAAGGTTAAAGAGTGAAAGAGGGGAGGAAAGCGAAGACGTACAGATGAACAAAAAGCTAATGACGGAAGAATTAAATGACAAAGGAGGAGACTATAACAGTTTGAGTCCTTCAAACCATCTCCAGCTGTTTCCCATCACCCTCTGTGACCAAAGAGTGTGATCATTTATACGCCAAAGCTGTGTTTGTTTGCTCTTGTGCCCCTTTTGGCAGCCAGAGCAGAACCTCCCAGCCCACAGCTCAGCATCCTATTGGCCCTTTCACCCTAACTGTAGCCTTTGAACGGACGCCATACCCCAGGAAGCTGCCTGCCTCAGGTCAGAAAAGCGGAAGTCTCTGCAGACACCAGCTTGTCTGCTGATCAGACCTTATTTTGACCATAAGGCCCGATGACTATGACTGTGTGAGTAGTAAAAGGAAAACAATACTAAACAGAAACAGGATGTGATTTCTTTTTTTAAATCTGTGTACTAAATACTCCGTTCTGTTCTCCACTTCGCTTCACTTGCTAGTGGACCAAAAACAGAATCCCATTTAATCAACTTTTACAGGCTGCAGAGAAAAGATGAATTATGTTTGACAAAGAGCCCAACTTCAAAAGTGAGGAATGCAAACTGCAGTGAATTATTCCTTTCTCAATACAAACTATATGAAAGTTCAGCACGGCAGAATTTGGAGCTCTGAGCAGTATTAAAAATGGTGTCCTACTTGTTTCATGTGTCAGCTTACAGAGGCAGACCCTTTTATAAACAGCCTTTCCCCCTCTGGTCTATGATCCACTTGCTCTTTCCCCTTTGGGATGAGTTGGTATGAACAGAAACTTGATACAGACATGCCAAATTCTCCCATGAGCATATGCAGACAGTCGATATGCAACGAGGGTAATACGGAGCTAAGGTTGCACTCTCATGTATCCTGTGTGCTCCTTGTACAGGGGGTTATTGACAGCCTCCTGTCAGGAGATACTATATAAGCATATTGGGTTATCATGGACTGTATAAAACCAGTAAAGCATGGGAAACTACAGTTTGAACATGATCTGACTGTGGATGGTCTAAATATCCTCTGGATAATTTCTCGTCTTTAGGATGGAGGGTGTGATTGTATGAAACAGAAGAAAAGGGCTCCAGGAGGCACTTTTGAGGATTTAGTTTCCTCTCTTCTGTCCCCCCCCCCCCCTTTCTCAGTTTTCTTCATGTAACATGAAATTGTCCATTATGCATACATTTCCCTAGTCCATCTTACTCCACCTCATCTTTGTTTGTAAAAGTCTCCATAGCTTCCTGGCATTACTTTTCTATCCTTTTGGACTCAGTCTGTTTCTAGTATTTCCTCAAGTGTTTAGCATTCATCTGATACCGTGATTTATCTGGTCTACTCTTTATCTCTTACGCTTTCAAACTGGACTTCTCAGAGGAGCTCTAGAGCTCGTCTTCTCAGTAAAGGTGTTTTGGTTTGAAAGACACTTACAGGTCTCTCAAAAACAAGGATGAATTGTGGATGAGCCCCCTATAGCTCTCCATAAAACAGTGTTCTTGCACTGACAAGGGAAAGTCATCATTGGATGCACACAGCCTAAGGCACGTTGAGGGATGCTCACACCAACATGTGTGTAGACACCAATTAACCCCTCTCCTCACAGCTTTCTGTACAAATCAATGCAGTAGCGTGTACACAGCATAACAGATGAATTTTATTTCCACTGCCATCACACATGATTCATAGATTTTTTTTCTAAACACTGTCCAAGTATGAACAAACAAAGAACCGAGTGTGAAAAGTCGAGATATGGAGGTCCATAAATGGATAAACTAATATTTAAGACCCCATTCTTCTGGAATACTGCTCCCATGCTATAATAAGATTCCCATCCTAATAATTCATGACACATAATTAAACTCATAATCTCAAGCCTGCATGAATTATGCTGCAAGTTCATGCAGCTGACACCTTTTTCATCTCTTGAATCCCAATAAAAGTGCATGAAGAGTCTGTATGTGCTGCATCAATATCTGACGCCTCTGCGAACTACTAACAAGGACTAAGCGTTGACAACCCTGGGGTAATTATTGCTGGTATGTCTGCTTTCTGGACATCAAATGGAGATATTTGGCTTTTGGCTGGGGCTAGACTTCCCTGCTGATTAACACTGGCCTTGCAGCTACCATAAACAGTCAATAGACAGACATCTCAGTGGAGACACCACCTTATTGCTGGATAATTACCACTGCCTATTGTGTGCCAACACCTGTAGACTCCCCGTCGATATGTCACAAAATACTGTCACAGTGGCTACCCGATCAAGATCTACAGCTAAGCAGAGATCACTGCCTGGTTTGTTTGAACACAAATGAAAACTGTGACAAGCTGAAGCTAATCGACATGCTAAACTGCAAAAGCAAACGCACCTTCAAACACCAGCTCCCATCTCATCTTATATGTAAAAATAGAAATACAGAGGTACAGAAGAGGCAAGAAAGATGGAGTTAGGAAGGACGTGAATGGCAGAGACAAACGAGAACGTATGACAGAAGAAGGGAGGAAGTCATGGAGAGAGAAAGATGAACTAACTACAGGCAGATGGAGAGAAAGCGGGGATAGAAAAAGAGGAATAGAGCTGAGGTGTAAACATGATCAATCCGCTCCCAACGAGGTTCAGAGAGACTTCCTCTTCACATTTTCAGCCTCAGTGAAGCGCAACGCAAGCTACCTTTTATCTGTCATGGTAGTTTGAAGCCCATCTCTCACACACACACACACACACATAAAGGTGCAGCCATATTCTAACACCACGCAGGCATGGACTCACATGCACAAATGCCGTCCCGTACCTGCAGACGTACCAACGAGCGGGACACATGTTCTCGTTAAAAAACTTCTCAGAAGTGAAGAATTTAACATTTTGGGAACATTTTAATGGGACTTAACAATCATCCCTACCAGCCAAAGCTACAAGTGAATACAAAAATAAAGTGTGCCGTGTACAACATAAACAACCACATCCGACCCTCTCAGCCATGACTAATCAATAATTTAAATCATGTTCTATAAAACCTCTGACACTCTGCTTCGATACAGACCAGAATAAGCCCTCTTAATATATATACATCTTCATTCAAATGTTAATGCTCACCGACATTATTTATTTGCCAACTAATGATTGGGCTTTGGGTCATTTATCTAGATTGTCACCCAGCCGGTATGCGAGGAGTGCATGGTGATCCATCATGATAGTGAGCATATTTCTGTCCAGAGTGATCATTAGCTGGAGGCTATTATTTACCCCGACCACATTTGGGCCATCCCCATCTGTACCTGGTTGGCCCGGCCCGAATAGCATAGCTTTCTTACATATCTTGGTGGCCTGCCTTTTTTCCGGGTGCAACAAGACTGTTTTTCAGCCCTCTTTCTGAGGTGGTCTGCTCCAGGCTGACCAGGGCCAACACCCCCACTGCTGACTGATAAGCCGGCTTATCAGTCAGCAAATTCACACGTTCCATTAGAGCAAGCCTCTGATTGGTGGGTAGAATCAGCCCGCATGGACTTAAGGCATGCTCAATTCATTATCATTCACTATCATGCTGATTACCAAGAAGCTGAAAATGTCTCTGACTGCATTCCTTACATACCTAAGCATGGATGTTTGGAATCAACCGGGCCAGGCTGGGGCCGACTGGAGCTATCTGGGCAGGGCAAACCAGGTACAGATGGGAATGGCCCAATTGATGCGCTTGCTGCAGTTATGATTTAGTTACCTAGTAGTATTGATCAGGTCCAAAGCAATGATAAAGATTTGAGTCAACACAATGGGCTTTATCATTTGCATTAGAGTGTATTAAACACAAATGATAAAGACCACATTCATCCTTTTCTCCCTGACAAATCTATCTCCAACACTGAATTGCGAACACCTGCCATGTTCTCCACCATTAATGGGGCTGAAATATCACCCAGTCACACAACGCTGAGAGATTACCCAGAATTCCCATCGTTTTCCCTGCTCTCACTCACCACTGTTTTCTGGCACTGGATGGACGAGCTGTTGAAGCGCAGAGCCGGAACGCTGTGGGTCTCCCCCTGGATGTGGAAAACACACTCGTAGTTCCTCTGTCCGGACTGGGGCTGTGGCAGGTTCCTGGCAGCTAAAGTGATGGGCTTGGTCACGCCAACTGGGATGTAAATCTGGGTGGATGGCAGGATTTGGGGGCAGTCCTGAAAGGTTAGGAAAGGAAAACAGAAACACTTAACTCTTATCCCCCAAAAGGAGAGACAATTATGGACACTGACATCATTCAGCAGCGTGAGCAAACAAGGCAAAGGAAGGGATGATGGAATGAATTGTTTGCTGCTAACAGCAGAAAATCACAAAGGCATTGGGTTATATATTGTATTTGACTTTACAGTAGATCTGCCCTGGACTCTCTGATACAAAAAGCTGCTTTGCGGTGTATTATTCACACTGATTTTAGGCTTTTACAACACTCCCACTGGCCTCACACCAGACTGAAAGTCTGAACAACATTTGAGAAACAGAGATCCATAATAAAACTGTTAAAAATTACTCAGATCCCAGCAGTAACATGATTTTATGGCAGGACTCTAGGGGGATGCATGCACACGTGTGCACATCTGTGATGCTGGTCGGATCTGAGAGTCGTGTTTAGATCATCTAGTGCTGGACACAACCCCGCAACGAGTGTGTGCTCTGGCACAGATGTGTTTACGACAGTCAGCTTTATAACTGAAAGTGCTGTTGGATTAATTAAGTCTGTTTGTATCTGGTTACTGGGCGTGAGTGTGGCAGGGCACTCAGTTCAGTATGTAAACTTTCCAAGATGTGCGTTTGTGCTGGAAGAAATGAAGTCATTATAGTGTTCATGCCATGATTTGGCAGCGAGACACAAACCATGTCAACACAGAGTTGGAGAGGGGGGTAAAAAACAGAACAGGGAGTGCGAGTGACAGATCTTGTATAGCACATGTTTAAGTTTGGGTGGAACTAAGCTATCCTGTAATATAGTGCTGACAAATCACACAGTTTACAACCTGGAGACAAGTGACTCACATCATATGAGACGTGCAGGGGGAGAAAATGCGCACAGAGCCTTGAAACAATGCATTAAGGGTCAAATCGATCATTCGCCTGAAATACTGCTGCATCTATTTCAGCCAGGGACTTCATTCCAACAGCTGGAAATAAAGCAAGAATAAATCCATGACCGGACCCTTGTTACACATGTCACCTGACTCCCACGGCCTCCCTTCCTGTTGCTCTTGGCTTTAAGCACACACCTTACTCCCTGTCTGCATTCTGCCTTCTCTATCTTTAGCTGCTGTACATAAGAACCACAGGTTGTCCCCGGGGACAGAACACGATGCTGCAGTTTGTTCATTAGCCTGCTTAGCCCTGGCTTTATGTGTCTGATCACACACAAACAAAGCACAACACATAATGAGAGAGGGAAATACTACGGGAGGAAGGAGCAGGATACCAAGAACCTGACGTATAATCAACTAGGAGGGGGGCGGGTGAGTTGAGGGAGGGAAAATGGATGGGTAAAGAGGAAGGAGAAAGGTAGGGAGTGGACGGAGGAGGAAACAAGATGAAGGGCTTGGAAAGAAAGTGAAAGGAGAAACTAGTGTAATTGAGAGACATCTGCTGGTGCAATAATGGAGGAAAACAGTAAAAACAGAGATGCCTGCATCCCTCTGCATCTTATCCATCTATTTATCCATCCATCTTCAGCCACATCATGTACCAAGTCCCCGACAATGTCCTACTTAATTAACTGCCTGGAGTCTCAGACGGCTCCAGAAAATTGATGGAGGGGGGAAAGAGAAGGAGGGAGAAAGAAAGATTGATTTGCACATGTGGCTTCTGAAGTTCTGACTCCAAAAGGTGCTACATGCTCGTGTCAAAATCTGTGAGCTTGCATCACCCGAGGTGCCACAAGAAAAGAAAAAAGGTTAGAGCTTCCTGCTGCTGCTTTGTTAAAACCAGTGAATAAAAAGCTAGCATAGCCAGTAGCATAATCTGCAGCTCAGCAATGTTTTATTCATCCATCTATCGACTTTGTGTCGGCTCTGCCGTCTGCTTGTCGTTTTCTCTGGCAGTCACATTTCCTTATAGTATCCCTTTACTTCATTCACATCACTTTATATTCTAGGATCAACTAAAAATCAGCTACAAACGTATAATCTAAAATAAACAACATTGAATCTTTAAAGTGCCTTACATCCAACGGAGAAGAAATGGAAACATTTTCCTATGAAGTGTGTAGGAGCGGATCCGGCTGCTTCTACTCAAACTCCAAATGCTAACACTTTGTGTCAAAGTCTGCCATTGTCATGAAAGTCAGCAGCAAGTTAAATGGCTAATAGATTTGTTTCTACAAATGTTTTACTTGCGACATGGAATTTGTAAAGGCCCACGCTTCTCCATCGCTGCGTTTGAGGCAGAAATGAAGGTACAAGAGGAGAAAAAAAGTGGATATAGAAGGAGAGGAGAAAATGAAAACGTGTTTCGCAGATAGAAATAATTTCATCAGTGCTTGTGACAGGTGCCAAAACAGTTCAAAGACAGCATCAGAGCTGCAGAGAGAATACAGCAAAACAATATTTCACTGAAGGGGTTTTCTTTGAAGCGGGAGCCGATTTTTTTCTCCCTTTCTAGTTCCTTCCTCCTCAGCTTTCAAATCATCTGTGAAGGCGGATGCTGTAGTTTTCTCTCTGCCAGATGTAATACAGCATCTGGACGACTTCAGGATGACCAACAGGCAGGGAGAGAGAGGAGTGTGTAAGTGGTGGCGGTTTTGGCTAGTAGTTTGTGTCTACTCCCAGAGAAGTGATGAATGCCTCAGCTGCAAGTGAGAGTATTAGATCTGGTCAAATAGCTCATAACGAATCAATAGAAGACCAAACTCTGTTTTCTGACAAACAAACCAGAACCTCAGCTCATGAAGGTCCCTCCACAGAACCATACCGTGACAAGTCCTGATACAGACAAGGGCTGAACATCATATCACAAATTTATCATCATCACGATATCATCATATGCATATTTCAAAGAACAGAGAAAAAAAAGCAATGACGGGTCATCTCAAATGTTTGCTACACATAATGCATTTTGTCAATCAAAAGGAAGCATGAAGTTTTTGACCAGTCAAACTGAGACCTTCATGCCCACTCCCTAACAGACAACACTTCATTTGGATGGATAGCAAACTAACTCCTGAGTTAGCCTGGAGAGCATTTCAATGACTGAGGGTAAGATGTGTGTGGAAAGTGTTAGCAAGAAAAAAAAGTCATGTTTATATATGGAGGTGTTTTTGTTAACAAACAAGTATTTTGCAAGACAAGCCGAACACTAGTGGCAACCATGAGGGGAAACATGACAAATCCGCATTGTCACATCCAATGTAACCATAAAGATCCATATACAGGGCTCCAGGAAGCTAGCGTTAGCAAACCCAGTGTTTCTGATGTTAAGACAAGCAAGAGCGCAACAGCCCACTAGATGCCCCTCTATCAAGGTTTTGTGGGAGGAACTTCTTATTAGAAACCATTGTGGCACAAGGAAATAACTGAGGCACTTGAACGTTATGTGGCTAAGGCTATGATGCCAATGAGCCAAGAGCCACTGAACTGGAGAGCTGGGTCAGGGTGCACAGCGTAGTCAGTAATGGCTGCAGGAGTCTGTTAATGTTATACAGCATTGTCCTATTGTTTTAAATAGCTCCGAAATATTTAATTTTTTTTTACAAAAATATTGAAACGAATACGTTTGTAATGTCAACTTGCATGTTGTTACCGTTTTAATACTAATGATAGAGGATGAGTGGTTTGTAGAAAGTATATATACACAACGATGAAAGACGAACACTGCAGATTTAAGTATTTATTTATTGCAAGTCATATCATTATTGCAATATTAATCACTGTTTTCCTAATATTGTGCAGCCCTGATATAGATGGTTTTACATTTACAAAAACATCTGCACAAGCCTTTTAAACATCAACGCGTAAAAAAAAAAAACATGTAAAACACACACCGACACGTTAGCAAACTGTTACTATTAGCTGTAAAATGTTTGCTCGCATTAATCAGACTGGCTTTTAAGAGTGTGTACCTGGTTTCTGAGTAGGTGAACTAATGTATTTTTCTTTAAGTGTGTGTTTGTGATGGCTGATATCCAAGTAGCCGCAGGGCTCTCCTCACCTCTCCATATCTCCTATCCCTCGAACGCTGCTGTTGGTTTTGCTGCCTACGGCTACGGCTGCTTTATTCATTCTAATGGCTTGTATAATTATGTAGACTACAAAGATAAAATGTATACATTTCTTCAGTTGGAATTATATTTGTAGTGGAAGCGGTCGCTTTGAGCTTAGAGATGATAAGTTATTGAAAAGCTGGCTCATTTAGTGGACACACCTTTGTATTGTACCTACCCTTTGAACATGTTTAATGCCAAATCAATGTAAACATCATCCAACATCATTCAGTATCCAAACATAGAGCAGCTTACAAAAACAGACAGGAAGCTTCACCTGTCATTTCAGATCAAACTCTATCTAATAACTGTGTAACTTGAATCTTGACATGCTCAGATATACTTTCCTCACCCTTCCTACCACAATAAAATTGAAAAACACAAAAACAGACTTAATAAAGCACGGTTCTCTGGTGGAAAAGAGATAATCTCGACTTGCAGGTGGGCAAAACACCTTTAAACATCCTCCAAAAGCAGATAATGAGACAGTTGGTGAGGAAACGTGACCGTGTGTGTTCATGCAGATATGCAGAAGGTGAGAGATTCAAATCAAGACATGAATGGAGTGGGGTTTGTGTGAAGGGGACATGAGTGGGAGGAGGAGGATGAAGGCAAAAGCAAGTGTGGGGTGGATGGTATATAAATAAATAAATGCATTAAAGAGCCAAAAGTGTTCTGAAGGCTTTGGCAAAGCCCGACAAGAGATAAATTAATAAAGCTCCAAAAACACCACGCATTTGTAATGAGGCGGATGTCTGGTCCGCTCATCTTTTTTCTTTTTTTTTAAAGTCCCCCTCATCTCTCTGATTCCTCCCCCTCCTTCCATCCATAATTAATTAGCTGCTTCTGTGATGTGCAGACTATAGATCAGGGAAGAGAAAAAATAACACGCTAAATAATGAAGTAAAGCGATATGGTGAGCCCGAGGGAGAGAAGAGATGG